CTTAGGATCATCATTTTCCATGCACCTCTTCATAACCTTCTATGCTACTATAGTACTATCTATACAATCATTTTTGGCTCTTGTTGAGCAATCTACATGAGTTGCTTTTAAAGTTTGAGTATCTACAGTGCAAGTTATATTCCATGGTTTGGTATGCACATACTTGAACTTTCTTTTTCCATTTCTTTTTTTAACCTTCTCTGTGTCTGCCAGTTCCCTTTGCCTCCACCCCTTTAGAGAAATTCCATTAAACTTGCATCTTGTAGTTTGTTGAAGTTAAATATCTGTTTGCTTGCAGGCCAGCAAGAAAATTACAGATGCTAAGCTTGCTAAAGATTTCCAGGCAGTCTTAAAAGAGTTTCAGAAAGCCCAACGGCTTGCAGCTGAGAGGGAAACGGCATATACACCTTTTGTTCCTCAAGCAGTCCAGCAATCTAGGTATTTTGTCTGTTCATGAAGTTTTTCAATTTCAAACTCATTACTGTGTTTGCTGTGGAGTGGCTTCGTGTTGATAATATAATGTGAACCTGCTCGCCCTTTGGATTAGCATGTTGGCTGTTCTTTTTTATTTTTTTTTATTTTTTAATAAAGACAAATCATTTTCCCTGCAGCTACACTGCTGGTGAGACAGATGTGAATTCAGATAAGAGTTCAGAACAGCAAGCACTTCTTGTAGAATCTAGAAGGTATGTTGTGAAAAAAAAGTACTCTCAGTAAAGTATACAGTTAACATCAGTGTCTTATTTTGCTACACTGTTTGTGCTGCAGACAAGAGATCTTATTGTTGGATAATGAGATTGCCTTCAATGAGGCGATAATAGAGGAAAGAGAGCAGGGTATACAAGAAATACAACAACAGATTGGTGAAGTAAATGACATATTTAAAGATTTGGCAGTGCTTGTTCATGAACAGGGAAATATGATTGGTACTTCACTCTACAGTTTTTTAAATAGCATTTTGATACGTTATTCTGGTGGAACATTAGCTAATGGAGGCAACTGGTTAACTGGCAGATGATATTGGTTCCCATGTTGAGAATGCTCATGCCGCAACAGCGCAAGGGAGATCACAGCTTGCCAAGGCTGCAAAGACACAAAGATCAAACTCATCTCTGGTAACATATTAATTCTTGAGTCTTTTTGTCTAGTACTCCCTCTGTCCCGAAAACTTTGTCGTGCTTTGGGAGCTGAACGTTTTATGCACAGTATTAAGTTGCAGATTTGTTTTCCGATTTTGCCACTAGAATGTGTGGTCATTAGTGGTCAAGGAGACAAAATGACATGTGGGGCCAAAGCTACTTACAAGAAATGCAATCCGCCAACAGAGAGTGATTCTCACGCATCACTTTAAACCTTGTGTGTATCTCACGGATGTCTTGCAACTTGAGTTGAGAGCAAATGAAAATCAAAGGGCCCCACTAATAAAAGTAAAGAGTGAAGGAATCTTGAAGGGTAAAAATTGAAACAAGAGAATTTTTGTTTTCCATTTTGAGTATGTGACAAACATTTTGGGACAGACCAAAATGGAAAGCGTGACAGTTTCAATGGGATGGAGGGAGTATCATGTTTCCACAATTGGGCCTCTGGTGGACATGAGGATAAAATTGCAGTTCAGGTTTTGTAACTAAATGGATGTCAGTGTACTCCACGTGTAGTCATACGTATAAAAAATCTTCCTGTTGCCCTTGATTAGTTTTAGTTTGAACTTCTTGTCCTCTTAATAATAATTGATTTGTATTAGGTAAGTTTTCTGTTGGTAGAAACTATGACTGCAGTATGAAGGCTATATTTTCGACACACTCCTTCCTTCCTTTTTAGTATCTTTACGTGAATCTATAACTTACTATGCAATGTCCTTTTTTTTTGGGCTGCAGACCTGCTTGCTTCTGGTCATTTTTGGGATTGTGCTTCTCATTGTTATCGTAGTACTTGCTGCCTAGTGAGAAAAGTTTGAATATGATTGGATGGAGAATTTACGTCTACTCGACAATCCTGTGATCAAGTTTGTTTTGTGAAGCACTGCAGCTGATTGGATCGCGCCACTCACTGAAATTGTATCAATAGCAAGATTTATGATCTCCATTGCCATATTAAGTTTTTATTTTTTGGGTGGGGATTGGTGTTGTATTTTGTAATTGGCAGGTTTGGGTTCGAGGTTTTCCTTTGCTTGTCATATAATTAAACTCGTCTTGCAAATATAATTGATTTTTCTGTTGAATGATTATCAATCTGTTTGTGTGGGATTTTATGCTACTCATTGACTCTACTGGTTTGTTATTTGGGTCTGGAGATCATAAGGACTATTGCTTGGCGGAGCCTTTCATGTTTCATCTTGTGAACATCTCGTTGGACAATCTACTGATGGTATCCCTTTGCCTGTCTCGTGTCCTTAATTGGCACTGAGTCAACAAATGAGTATTTGCTCTTATAGTGATGCTATAAGTTCATGCCCAATCTTATAGTGATGCTATAAGTTCATGCCCAATTTTAGTGCACACTTTTTCTGTCAGTGAATGTACATAAAAGCACTAACTCTTGGTTCATGAGAATGTTTGAGGCTTTGCTAGGTGCCGTATTGGCATATGGTGGGGAACTTTTTGAGAATGAAATTATGGCAATGGATGATAGGAACTTGAATTGATGTCCAGGTTCTTGGGAGGCCAAGTTATTTTTTGATGCAGAATATGACTACCTTCTGATGATGGTAATTTCTTCAAAGATTTTGAAATTGATGCAGATTACAAATAATTTACTATTTGATATGGAGTGTAATTATCATCTGGATTCATTTCCTCTTGTAGTCTTCTAAGAAATCTTTTTATAATGCTGCATCCCAGATGCATATTGATTTTTTCTACTGTTGGAAATAATAAAAGTTGGCCCATCATTTAGTATCGGCAACATCTCCAATGGTAAAAGCTGAAGCACCAAGGCTTCCAAATAGATGTGTCTGAAATCTGCATAATATTATCAGCACAAGTACTTTTAGGAAGCATCAATTAACCAACCTGATTTGTTTGCGGACTAAGTATCTACCCATCTACGAAGAATAAGTATCCTACACAACAATCTGCTCCACATTTTGGACATCTCAATCTCAACCATGTTCAGCATTTACATTCCTCAGAAGTACACTCAAAATTCCGCCAGGTGCCTGAGAGTTGGGCAAGAAGAGAGGAGAACACTGTCTTCTGAAGTACCAAGTACCTTAAAATTTTGGAGACCAAAATGTGAGAAGCATTTCCCGAAGCATTATTGTCGAACTGAAAGGTGTGGTGGTTGAAGTGCAGTCGACATATAAGTACATAGCCAAGGCTGGGAAGTTTTTCTCTTTAAGCTCTGAAGTTCTTTTGGCAAAATCACGGATGATTAGAAACAATCTAAATATATCAAGATTGTTTCAGGTCAGCTGTGAGTGCAATATTTGAAGAAGAAACAGAAGTCCAGACAATTAACAAAGCTGACAAAATTGCTGATATGAATGTCACAAATGACACAATTTTTGCGTGCTCCTTGTTTCCACAAGGCACTTCCCATACTATATTGCCATCTTCATCGTTGACACCTTCATCAGTAGGAACAAGCAAACAGCTCTTCTCATGCAAATTTCTTTCATTTCTGCAACTGAAAACTATGTCCGGCAGGCCGAATTCAACTCTAGAAATGCCATAACCTAATGGCTGTAGAAAGATTAAATAATGAGAGTTAGTTTTCCACAAATTGCCATTACTCTTATACAATTCCTGCACTTACTTGTATCCAAAAACTAACAAGATGTTCATCATTCTGACGAACTCCAAGGGAAATCAACAGTCTCCATAAGGTGAGAGTGTCCAGAATTGCATACCTGATAACGGGCGTGCAATGGGAGCTCAATGTTGATTTCTAGCTGCTTATGATCTCCAGAAAACATGCCAGGATCAATCCGCACATGAACTTCAACTAATGACCTATTGGACCGAAATGAAGGCAACTCTAGATTTGTATCCCCAAACACAGCAGCATTGCTGAACACTGCAACCAATGATACCAACGTACTAAAACAACAACCACCCCAGAAAACATAGAGCCATTTGTACACATAAAATCTTCAAAAAAAGAAAAGAAAAGAAAAAGATCAGAACTATGGATCTTATACCTTTCCTCTGGACAAGATGTTGCAACTCAAAAGGATCTGCAAAAACTCCAGAGGGCAGTCTTTCTATCACAATGGCTTGACAAGATTGTGCAGATACTTGGATTTCTAACCTAACGGATGAAGATAAACGACGATGTGAACCTTCCCCAATCAAATTCCTGTGTAAAGCTAACATTTTTGGCTCCTTATTATTCAGTTCAGGTTGCAGCATCTGGCAAGAACTTCGTGAAACATCAGTCTTTAGGAAGCTATTGAACTTTGAATCGTCCAAAATTTCATGTTTCTTGAAATACTGTGCTGAAATGTACTCCTCAAGGCCCTAAAATCAAAACCCACGAAATATAAAAAAATTCTGAGCTATAAATTTTACAAAAATTGAAGCTTAATATCCATAATTTTGCACCACAAAGAAGAAAATAAAAAGTAAAAATGAAATAAAAGAAGGAAAATGAAGCCTTTGGGCTGAACTGACCCGGCTACAACTGGGCAGGAGGAAGATGAAGATGAATAATCCAAGTCTGAAGCAGCTCTGAAATTGGAAATCTTGAATCTCCATTTCAATGTATAATCAAAGCTTGACCAAATCTCAAAATTAAAAAGGAAAATCTAGGATATATACGGGTAGATGTAGTCAGTATTCTCTACGTATTTTTTGCATTCATATACGTATTTAAACAATCTAACCTACGGAGATCGGAAGGGTGGAAACGCAGCAATTTGTATCGGATCGATTTGGATACTTTTCAATGTATCTCAGATTGATTCTGTCAACGGTTGTGATTTGACGAATTAAACGGTGCTACGACGTCGTATCAGGTTTAGTATAAGTTTGAAAAACTGGTTTCTTCAACTTTTTGAATAGTAGAATTGGGGGGGTAAAAAGGAAGAGGGGAATAGTGGAGATGAGTAATAGTTCGCTGTCGTCATCGCCGGCAAGGTCATCGATATCTACGACGGCGGTGGCTGGGAGTGCAAATGCGGTGGTCGGAGGGTCATCTCTATCCGTCGAGGACTACCACTTTCCGGCGGATCTCATTTCAATTCAGGACCGCAAAGACGAGGCGCTTCTTGGTCAGTCTCCAATTTTTTTTTCCACTGCCTTGATGATAATTATCTGCTTCTCTAGCTTGTACTAGTTTTAGACAAAAACATCAATGCGACTTTGTTTATCTTTTTTTTTTTGGTTTTGTTTTATCTTTTCATTTTCAATTTGATTGATATGTATTTTAGACAAGGTTATTTTTTTTTATTAAATAACTAAAGGGACTGTAAATTTTTCCTGTATTGTGTGCATAATTTATGGTGAACAAAATTTCGTTCATTTAAATATGAGCCTTTTAGGAGTAGTGTTTGAAGTGTGATTTAAGGGCTAACGCTACTTTTGGTCCTGCTAGGCATACTCAATCCCGGTTGGAGCAATTTCATTTTTTGAATTTGTCGAAAAGTTTGGTAATTTATTCAAATTTAGGTACATTATTTTGTGCTAAATGTTGAACAATGAGCCAGGCAATCCAATTTAGCTTGAAGGAAAAATTTCCAGTTTCGGACCTTTGGTAGCAAATTAGGCTTTGACATTAAAGAGCTTGTGTCCAATGGTATTTTTAATTAGGCCTCAGCATTTTGTATCTCATACATAAGAGAAGAAAAGATTTAACGTGGAAATTCCCGGTGGATAAAAGCATTGGACCACCTCAGAAAGTTCTCTTTTGTCAAAAAATGCCGGAGAAATACTCCATTTACACAAGAAGAGAAATCCTACCACTACTTGAATGAATACAAGAAATAGGAAAACTCTCACTCCTAAGAGATAATGGAGACCAGTATTGCTTGAGATAGAGTTTTTAATGAGGTGAATCAGTTCCTGATATTTGGCTTCAGTATGACCAAGATCCCTCAGACTTCACAGATAGCAGAAGCATAAGCTTCTTTCTCTGTGAAGACCTACTTATCTCCTCTCTTATCTTCTAAGCTGTTATATGCACATGGAATTTAGGTAAGTCCCATTATTATAGTGGTGATTTGTGCAAGGTTTCACTTGAAAAGAACTACCAGAATATCAAATGCTTTTCTGAACCTTTGATTAGTAGTGGCTTGTTTAAACCAAGAAACTTGCATCAACTTTCTGAAGGGTTCTTATCTTATTTATGCAGTTCTGAAAGCTGACCTGATGGCTGCTTTGAACAAAGAAGTTAAATCCCTTGATGAGGATAGCTGGATGTTTGAGGGACCCCGATCTCGTATTAATCTTATTTCAAGACCAGGTTAGTTGTTTTGGGTGTTTCTTATATCTGCTTTTAAGGCCACATGATCTGAATGTTATGGTCCACTAGATCATGCGAGTTAAAATTGTGCCGAAGTATAACTGACCTCTATGCAAATGCAAGTCAAAGGATCTTCACTAGTTCCTTGAGAGAATTTGTAGTTTGAGACTTTAATGATATTTTGATAATTGTTTGGATAGAAATACTGGCCATAATAATGTTATTCACTGTTAAATATATGAATTTTATGCCCAAGACATTTCAAAGTTTAGCTAATGCCTCATCCTGTAATTTAGTTTTTCCTCAACCCACAACTACTGTACTTTGTTTCAATGGCCCTGTGTCTGCATTGAAGGCCTTTTACCCAAAATTTAGCAATTCTCAGGCTGGAGGGCCAGCCATGCACAATAGACCTCAACTTCATACGGACTAGTTTTTTGTCAGTTCCTTGTAGAACTGTTTGGTTTTGGCTCACCAATTAATTACTAATTGGTGCTACATTTTTTTTTCTTTTTCTTTTTCTTTTTTTCCCTATTTTAACAATCCCTGCTGCTGTCATCTGTTGACTCATTTGTGAATTCTGATTATGTAGGCAAATACATAGGTAGAAGCATCATTTTAATGTCTAATTTTCGTGTTTTCTTCTTTATTCCCCCTCCTATATATTGGCATGTTTGGCCAATTTCTTGAGCCCAGGATCTGTCACTGAATTTGGCTGTGTGAAATGTTTGGTTACTAGTTGATGCAGCATATAGGGAAAGGGAAGGTACTCTACATCTGATGCGCGACAATTCAATTTTGTCTCTGTTATCAACACATTTTTAGATGACAATGTCAACACAAATCTGTAACTCAGTTCAAAAGCATCAAGCTAATCCACATGGGAAGGGTTTAGTATTATTTGAGCTCATGGCAACTTTAAATGAAAAGGCTAGTCATTTGAACTTTATTACTCTTTGTTTTGTGGTTTATGTTTAGAACACCTTAGGCATTCTTTGAACTAGAGGTCTTCATATATGCTATTCGTGGAAATTGTAGAGAATAAATTATTAATTTGCAGAGTGTCAAATGCGCATTTCTGGGAGATCTTATCAAATATAAAGCACACTGGTTTTGTTTGTAGGACTTCTCAGTTAGTTGCTGTTCTTATTTTTCAACTTTTTTAACGTATAAAGGAGTATAATTTATTGATGGAGTAAATGGCATGGTAAAACATACCAAGTTATCCAATTCCTGAGATTGTTGACTAATGCATACTTTTCATGCATATTTGATAGTTTAACAATAACTGCCAAGTCAGAGGAAGAATAACATGGTGTGCACTTAGCCTATTTTTCTTCCATTTCTTCCATTTCCATTAATGTGTCTTTAGTAAAAGCTTGAGGTCCAAAGTGAGAATTGGTGAAGACATTGAACGTTATATAGTGGAATTAGTCTTTTATTATATCTTAAGCATCTGGAATGCAAAATGGGAGTAGTGTCCAAAACCAGAAAGGTCATTTGGACTTAATTCTTCATTTCGTTTTAGATAGCAACTTTTTCTCGTCTGGTTTGCACGTGCATTTGGAGTTGGGTTTGCAGGTAGTGGAGGTGGTGTAGGCTTGTGGCTTCTCAGATTGTATCCTGCTTTTGTAACACCAAGCATTTCCTGGGCGTTATAGGCTTGTAGCTTCTCAAACTGTATCCTGCTATTTGTAACACCAACTTGCATGAAATTTCCCTCTTGGCCATGTTAACTCTCGTGTTTATACAGGTGGGCTTCTACAGAAGCGTTTTGGAATTACGAAGCATCATAACTTGGCCCCTAAAAACTGATTTGTATATCCTTAATAAAGAAATTACCATGAGCCAGCGAGAGGTGACCATCAAGTTTCTTGAACTGATTCATGCCTTCTATAATAGCTTGAGCTAGAGTACTGGCTTAAGAGGGACCAAGATGCCTGGATATGCCATTCTGCTTGAAGTTTGTCATGGTCTGCTCTGTATCTGCTCTTGATGTACTCTAAATTTCTGCAACAGTAAACTTGTTAGTTTAGAGCAGCCATCGGTGCTTTGTCCAGTGATAGCTGCTTAGAAAGTGTCAACACTTTCTTGTTGAATACAGCCATTCAGTTGCTAATAGGACTAGCTAGGAATGTTGGAAATAAACGCCTGGTGAAACTTTGATACTTCTATTATCAAATCTTGCTTCTTCAAATATTATAGTCTCCCGGGCCTTGTTTTGAAGATTCTGTTAAGAGTAGAGAACTCCATGTTTTAGCTCTTTTGCTTCCCACTATGACACAATAACTGCATTGGTTGAGCCAGTTGCATCCTTCGCCACCCCCCTAACCCATGTAGTGAGTTTGAATTTGCATATAGATGAAGAGAGAGTTCTAGTAAATAGCAAGCCTTGCTTTTATTTTACCCTTTTTCCCTTTTCCCTGTGTACAGCATTTTTTTTCTTTTCCTTTTTGGTTTAACAAAAAGGAAGAGTGAAAAAGGATAGAAAGGATATATAGAAACCTAGTCTAAAACATGGACGTGTATGCATGGTCCAATAAGGTGGTCGGAGCTCTATAGCACTTCGATTTTCCCAGTAACTGGACAGCGTATTGCTATGCTCCTTGGATCAATAAAAATATCATCAAATTACTCATAGTTTCCAAACGTCTAATGCCTTTCCTGTGCTTGCAATTAATCAAAATCTCACTGATAGGAGTATCATTCAGACACAAGAAGAGTAACAGAGCAGGTTCTGGGGAGCAACATGCTGAAATTTAGTCGAAAAAGGGTGAGAGAGTAGTTCCTCCACAGTTCCTCTACTCCTCCAATCCCTCACCAAGCACCTCCTTACAAAGTTCTGAAGCTCAGCTGATGCAGTTTCTGGCATTTCCCATGTTTCTTCAAAACAAATTGCGTACATGAGAGTGATCCAGTCTGGTTTCTCCCCAGGATTAATCAAAGGAAAACGACCTGTGAAGCATTCCATTATTACCACTCCCAGGGACCATACATCCCCAGCAAAGCCATCAGAGTAAACTCCATCCCACCTTTCTGGATCAATTCTCTCCGGACTCATGTATGCGTAAGTACCCATGTATGAATCGCACTGCTGTTTATCAGAACCTGCCACAAGTCGGCTGATGCCAAAATCTGCAATCTTCATCTTTCCTTTTCTGTTTATCAACAAATTTGATGGCTTAATATCTCTGTGAACAATATGCATTGAATGCAAATAGTGCAGTCCTTCCAAGACACTTCTGGCAATGCCAGAAATAGCTTCCTCAGATAACCTATGATGCTTCTGCAAGAGGTCATAGAGTGATCCTCCTTCCATGTACTCCATAACAAAGCATAGATCACCACCTCCATCTATGTCGGCAAATCCATTCTCAAACACCCCATGACACATTACAACACAATCTGAGTCCAATCTTCTGAGTATCCCCATCTCGTTCAAAGACTGCTGCTGAACCCTTTCGATATCTTCGCCAAACCTGAGTACTTTCAATGCATAAATTGCACCTGTTGGCTTGTGGAAAACTTTATAGACTGTTCCTCCATTGCCATGTCCAAGAACAGCAAGTTTCTCGAAATCGGCGAGGTTAGTGATGGTCGGAGAGTTTGAGCTTGAGGATGATATTGGTGATGGTGATAGAAACCCATGCCAAGAACTAGAAACTGGGGGTACAGTGAGCCTCAGGGCCTGCTTTTCCTTTCTCTCCCTCACCAGTGTCATATGTAAACAGCTGTAGAAATACAAGAATGACTTGCAAGTCTATCAAACTAAGTCTTCTTTATACGTTGCATGGTGCTTATGGGCTTGAACGTGCTTGGCCTAAGACCCTTGGGAAGTTGACATATGGAAGTAAGGATCTATAATCAAGGGCAGGTGAGGTTTTTGTGGTTACGTCAGACTCCTACTTCTGGCTATGAGTTGAGTTAGGGATTACAGTGAGTTGAAATCTGCCATGTGTACATTTGTTGTGATGGTATAAAAAAAAAATTTTAGAATCAGAAGGATAATTTAGTAGCATGGTTGTTGATTAATTAAGCATGTAGTCCACTCACTCCAAATAGAATGTGCTTTCTGCCCTGAAAGGCAGTTTCTAACTACAGCCTAAAGTTGGGGATTGAACTGCACATGTGAATAAAAAATTTTCTTATCACGTCCGAAACTAAAGTGATAATCAACGCATGACAATAATAAAGTAGTGATTTTAGGAATGCTTTGTTGCATTTCTTTTCTTCAATTTTGTTACCAACATCTGATTTAGGAATTGCAATGTCAGTTTCAAGAACTTAATATATGACCCTGGACTGATTGCAAGCTTTTGGATTTTCAAGTCTTTGGTGACTCGAGCTGTTTAAGTAAATGTAGAAATCCAACCCACAAAAATTTTATAAATTGAAAGAGAAAAAAAAAAGCAAAAAAAAAGGGAAAAAAACGGATATAGCTAACTAAAAATATTGCTACCGCATAACTAGTGTTAGTTTCAACAGGCAATTACATTAACATACCTTTTCTTTAAAAATAGATGATTGTTTGATACTTTTGTCGAATACTCTTATAATTTTAATACGACTACGTATCGTATCGATGAGTCCATTAAACATTTATTTTAGGGTAAAAAAGTTTAATTAAATTTAGCCTATTTGGCAAACAAGTTTTTCGCCAAGTTTATCTACTATGAGTTTTTTAACAACTTTATCTACAATAACGTTAAAAAAAATTTCAAAAGTTTTTAAACTATACAGTTCAAAATATCCAAAAATTTACACACTTCAAACCATTCGGCATAAAGGTCAACAAGGAAGAAGAAAAGATAAGTTTTGACGCAAAGTTGAAGCTCTGATACTGCTTGCCCCTTCGAGTCATTCCAACTTTGGCACCAAGAAAACAGAGGGTACAAAAAGTAAGCACCTTAAGGGTGATATGCAAGTAAAAGCCAATGGTAAGAACCAGATGGTAAAACGGTTCATCCATACAAGTAAAGGCATACAGGGTCAAAACCAAATGAGGTATTAACTGCTCTTTTAGGGACTTAATAGACACATAATGATCAGACAGATTAATATCAATCTTCACAATATACTTGAGATAGCAAGAAATGTACATATATCATAAAGAAGATCAAACTTTTTTGCCTTCAGATGTGAGAAGTCCCATCTGCTCAGTCAGCTGTTCCATGTGCTGAGTCCTGTTCCATCCATTATCAACCGGTTTTATTTGACTTCCCTTGGAAAGGTCTTCCATTTGATTCGAGTTCAAGTCCTCAGTCTCAATCGTTTGCTGGGGACTCTGGAGAAACTTTTCCCAGAAGGGGTCAATAGAGCCAGGAAGATCTTCCATGTCATCAAGCAATGAACTGTCCCATTCAATCTGTTCATCATCAATATCCAAGGCAAGTTTGCCGTTTGCTGCCAGTGACGTTGCGTCCATGAAAGCACCATTCTCTGTTTCAGTCCCTAATATATCAACATTACTTTCTTGACCAATGTCCTGTAGTTGAGAAAGCTCAGGCATGATCGTATCTGGTGACGGGAGTGTTAAGGGATGCAAGTCTTGCGCTCCAACCATACCATTCAAATCTGAAGTTGCACCAAGAGTGGATGAATGACTATCAGAAATGGCAGCGGAAGCACTTTGACCTATTACTGATGATGCTGCTGGCACAAAAGGCTGCCCAGCAGATGGTGTGACCTCCTGAAGAGTCACTCCTGAAACACGATTGGAAGAATTCCCACAATCCATTGCCGTAGACTGTGTCGAGCCATCACTGAGCAAGAAATTATCAGAACTGTTGCTGAAATTCTCTAATCTAGGCGAAGCATCGACTTTCATTAGCTGCCTGAGCATTGCTTTAGCTGCCTCATTCATCATAGGCTGATACTTGACAATCTGTCCATCAGTAGGACCAACAGAATGATCGTCTGAAAGACCATCCTGTTTAAGCCTCCGCTTTTTGCTGCCTTCAGTGATGCGCCTGCCGCTATCACTTTGCTGCTGTACAAACTGGGCCAAAAATCCAGGGCTGTTCACAGCTTTTGCCAGGAAAGACATCATCTGTTGTTGCCGCTGTTCCATACCCTGGAGGCGCTGCACCATTGCTTGCAACTGACCATCGGTGGTTTGTTGTTGTTGCCTCAACCGTACAAGTTCCTGCATAAGCACATTCTTGTCTCTTTTTAGCCTCTCAACCTCCTCTTCAAGCCCAAATTTTCCAACCTCAACACATGGGCCAACTGATGGACTCTGTCCATGAGGTTGCTGTTGTGGCTGAGGGTGTCCATGGGCAGGTTTTCGACGACTAATACTTTTAAGTAGGTGCTTTTGACCTCTTAAGAATCCCTCGTTTGCAAACTCCCAGCGATCTGGATCAACCTTTCTAAATCCCTGTTTGTCCAAGGGGGCAACAATCACAAACAGTAAGACGTACTGGCATTGATAATAACAAGTTCACAATCAGAGACAAACTGTATTTAACCAATAGAAGATACCACCAAAGAAAGAGAGGTAAACAGATCCGACAATGCAATCCGCCAATCCCACCTTGACAACTGTTAGATGGCAAGAACTACTACCCTTCCATCCTAGTCGACCAAAATTATCAGACAAGATCCAAAATAGGTGAAACACCAACCTTTGCATATGTGGACTGGAAGTCAAATACAATTTTAGAAAATGGAAAAAGAAATCATTCACTTTTACAAACTGAATAAAAAATGATCAGCCTTGTGAATCTAACGAATTATCTTTTCAGAATGGGCACCCGTAACTTTAGCTACCGCAAACTCTTGGCCAAATCGATCAAGTTGATATAGTTGGCATTGACAACTTCCTATGCTGGAACCTTAAGCTACTAAATTCTCTTTATAAAATTGACCAACTTGAAACAGGAACTTACTTATACAACTCAACCCTTCATATCACTTCTTTATCGACAGAAAAGGTTCCTACACTTTATACGTATTTACATTGTGCCTCTTCATTTTTGTAATTGCAATTCAATTCAACTCGAAAGAGATCCATGAACATTTTCTGTTGCCCACAATACAAAAGTGCCAGATAATCTGGCCAAATATATTGGTAAAGGTAATATTTCTTGCACTAACTAAGATAAACTTATGCTCAGAATGAAAATAAAGAACGAAGTGACAAGGCAATTGTAAGTTTCCCAAGATCTAACTGGACAAGAAAGTCATCCATTCATTTCCAATCTTTCTTTTTTGCTCCTCTTTTGCTTTAGTAAGT